CACTTACAACTTCTTTACCCGATTTCCTTCTCAACTAGCAGCTGATTTCTTCTCTCTCGGAGTAGATTATTGCTGATGCTCTCTTAGCGTCTGTTCAGTATACGGTTGTGTTATAATTCTCTTATTACGACCCAGCTACTCCTATTGCTTAGTATTCTTGAACACCAATTCACTCCACAAGTCCCCAAATCAGAACACGGTTGAACAGGAACAAAATTATGTTTCAAATAAAAAGGTTGGGTGGAAGTAGGAATCACAGTAAGAAAAACGTTAGTATATTTATAGTTTTTACATGAGAAGGTTCTAGAGTCTTCTCCAAGTGTCCACTAGCGCCGATTGGATAAGAACTAGCTAATTAGAGTGCCCCAACACAATCCTGCACGGAATGTGTTTTAATCCAATATGTATACCTCTAACAAGTTGTTAATAAATACCCGTACCTTTCTGGTAATAGTCATGATAGCCAATCAAGTTTCAGCTTCATACGACAGAACTGTTTTAATGCTAGTGTTGAAAATTCTGACTACGGATCTGCACGACAGTTATTTTGAGTTGGGGATGTTCTTCAATAGTAGGAATACTGTCCTTGTTTTGCCGATTTGTACTTTGATATCTGCATCAGATCCTCTCCATTTCTTAATGATCCTCTCCGATTATATAAAAGATTTCATCTCTTCCAGAGCCTCCCATCAAGTGAGTTCATATACACATATCAGTAATATTCATTAAATTATTGTTTTTGCCCAATCTAACATTCTTCAACGAACGTGACGGAAACGCAAATCACTTGCTCTTTATTCTCAATAAGATCATTTCATACGACTGGTCCGTTCATATTAAGAATAAAAGTCAATATAGTTTGAAATTTGATGTTCTATGCCACCTACATATAATAAAATGAAATCAGGAGAAAAATCAATTTTAAACTCAGATAAAAAAGCCTTCAATATTCCAAAATATAGTTAAAGTTCTCAGTTAAATTCTATTGAAATTCTGTTAACAGTATACGATTAGAAGTCCCAAAAAGCAACCATGTGGCTGATAACATTGATGTTACCTCAAATTCAGTTATACTCGAATAAAATACCAAGACTTTTTAATACGTGCTTTATGTCGAAGAAGCTTACACCGGATGGTGCAGTTATATTCAATTACCCTTCAGTTTTTGAAACGAAAGGTCATCAGAAATGGATATGCGTCAAACGTTAAATTATAATCAAAAAGTCATTTCAACTAAGTGCTTACCTGTAGAATATAGTCGAATACAATCAACTACCGCAATTCATTTATACTGGTTGTTTGGATCTTACCGTTGATGTTTAGGACTGAAATTGATCAGTCTCTTTTAGCATAGGATGATACGCTCATCTAGGATTCTACTACTGCATACCGTCCATCTCCGCTTAAAAACCACTGTAATTGTATCCAAAATATAAAAACTTATGTACAGTTTATGGTATCCTCTCTGCTAAATAAATCATATGTTCTTTACTAATTGTCAATATTTTCTATGAAAATATATGTTTATTTCTTTTATACTGATTTTATCTTTAGCTCTAATGTACCATATAGTACTGAAAAACTTGGTAATGATGTAAGTAGAAAACCAACAAGTCAAACAACTAGTGGACCTGATCGTCCAGATGTCCCACCAAGACAAACTTCATTACGTACCGGACCAAGTACTGAAGATACAGATGATACTATGAAAAACCTACGCAAAACATTTGCTGGTATTTTTGGTGATTTATAATAAAAAATTGCCCAGTAGAATTGTCTTATTTATAACTAACGTATTATTTACTAATTATAAATGTTGTATCTTTAAATCAATTGTTTCCAAACTACAACAAAAAAATGTAATTTCTGCTTCATCGATTTCTCTTTCTTTTATTCTTATTTTCTCTTTTTTTACTCCAAATATTTGTTTAATGAAATGTTCATACAAAAATAACCACATATTTATGTTATTGCATACTTCTTTAACATAGTAACTCTACCTTAGTTTTATTCAATTCAAATTAAACAAAAAACCAATAACCTTCTATCATTCTTACCTATTTAATTACTACTAATACTTTATTGTTCAAACGTTTTATGTTCATATGCAAATCCTCTGAAACCATATAACAACAAAGTGAAACTCAAGTCAATTATTCATGAAAACAGAATTATTTATCTCTGCTATTTGTCTAATTATTTACTGCTTATAATTTACTTACCAAAATAAATTCAAATGTGAAAATATTAATCTATCCAGTTAATATTTCAAAATGCTCATTGTTAGTTGTTTATTGATCTTTCAAGTATTCACTTATTTCTGTGATGTTTTCTTACATTGTCTTTCTCTTTTCATCCTCCATCCCCCCCCCACTATGCCTCTGTTGCTATATTTATTACTTGAGGATATTAAGAAATTTTTATCGTCTTGAGAGGTAATTCGACTAATGAATATTATTTAAAAAATGGAAACCAATCTCAGAATAAGGAATGATCAGAACAATAAAGGTGGAAGATTAATCGGCTTTTGTTTTATCTTTTTTAAAGTCTATTGCTTGTTGTTTGTCCAGTTAATCTATTATATCCTAAAAAAGGAATAACAAATCATTTACAATATGACACCGTTTCAGTGGATGACCACTTAATTGACTGTCGGTCTGATTTACTCTTCTGATAATGTAAACTTTTGTTACTAAAATCCTACACAAGCGAAAGATCTATTGCTTGGTGTTGAATACACAGTAAGCTTCTTTTCACAACTCGATCTCCTTAATTACTAAGGCTAGGCAATTAAGAATTTACTCAAAAATAAAATTTCTGATTCTACTCAAACATTCATTTCATGTACAGTACCCAAATAATAAAGGAATCTAGTAAATTCTATTTAGTATAAAGAAATCCCTGAAATTTTTGCCTTTCGATCTGTCATTTCTAATAAACATAAATTTTTTAAGTGAATAGTGAAATAAGTCAACTTTTAAAAAATAATGAATTACTAAATCACTTCGGAAGAGTCTCAAATTAGAATAAAATAATTGCCCAGTACTTCCTAGTTTTCAGTGATTACCCAACTGACGTCAGCCTTTAATGTAGGCTAACTTCGTTGTCAGTCTAATTATTTAAGTAGGTAACCAATCTCCATAAATTTTTTCACAACGTTGACTCAATCGTTTTTGAAAGTAATGACCGATTGGTCATATTAAACCGATATTTAGGACGATTCTCCAATTAAAACTGAATAACCAACTTCAGACTTGGAAGTATCTGGAAATTTGAATACATAATATTGAGAAGAAACGTGCTTTCGTAACCATCATTCAGTATAATACAGGCTGAAAATATTATCTCGATTACACAGATCATCACGACTGTTAATTAAGTCTTATTTGACTCCAAATTAGTGGTAAATATTAACCCATATCATTAACTGTGTTGTAGTTTCGGATATTATCAAGTTTTTATCTGTGTTAGCTGAGACTTATAATACCACTCCATACACCAAACCATAACCATTATGTTACTAGGTTAGAATAGATACTGTTTATTCAAAAGATATTTCCCATTGTTAGAACTTCTAACATTCTGTAGTTGGTCTTATCAGGACATAATTGATCTTTGTCTGTAGTCCGTTTCCTGGTAGAGAAGATTCAACAATCACAAATGTCCCATTTTGATAATAGCATAGGATTCGAAGAGATTCATCTCAATGTATTTGAGACTAGTCCAATGAATCCACCTCATTCCATCACATATTGACGTTCTGATTAAGAATGGTTGTAAAGAAATCAGAATGGTTTATTGGTGGTGATTCCTCAGTTAGTGGAAACAATGATTATAAACAAAACAATGGTAGAAAATATATTACGTGACGACGATAAATCATAAGCGAAAATAAGCTGTACGAGTCCGTAAATCACACCGGAGTGCAGAAATGGACGATGGTTGAATCCTCCCATAGTGATACTCTCAGAACAATAAAACTAGCATTTCGAGTTTTACTGTTTCTTAGACTCTGCCAGAATCCTTGTCGCAATCAATGAACTCACTAGCCTTATGATTTTTTCACGTGGCTCCTTAACACTTAAATTATAATATGCTCAAACTATTCCTTTTATAATGACGTAAACCATTTCTAATCTAATAAAATCTCCATTACTAGGTACAAAGTCTATCATTTAACTAATTAAAACTCTTATGGATTGATTGTAAATTCAATTCGCTGTTTGCACATACTGTAATAACAATATATGACATCTGTAGTCATAATGCATTCAGTGTGCTTTGTAAAAATTGACGAATTTGTAAAACTTGAGTACTACGTGCTATAACCTAATTATGTGAGCATTGGACATTCCGGAATTTCTTACAGAAGATTTTGTTATGAAAAGTTTAGTTTGGAAGAGTATGATAGATAGCACTTAATTAACTACATCGTGCAAGATATTAACACATCGTCTACTAATAACATCGTTCAGTAACATGAGTTGGATAATTAATCATCATTAGGAGCTAGTAGACTACTCAGTTTGCATAATTTAGCAAAATAAGTTTCTAGTTGACACAATTGTAATCTTGGCAATACCATCATTTCTTGTTGTGTAATGTATAACATAAAGAAATAAATGTCACTATGGGGTACTCTGTAGATAATTGAGATCAAGACCCGACCATAGTACCGAACTCCTTAGTATTTCCCATCCACGACACTGTATCTGAAAATTGAATCCGAGATCTTCGATCTCAACAACTACGCCACTGAGCCAGGATCCAATGGCATACAAATCTATGATATTGTGCGATGATTTTCCATTATCTTCGAAGGTTGCGTTCCTCACAACCGCCACGATTGGACTAGACTACTGAAAAGTTCCACACTAGGACAAAACAGCCGTACAGTGCTTCCAAACTTATAGTGGTTGTCTAACTTAGATCGGTTCATGATTTAAATAAAGAAGTAAAACTAAATGTATCGATCTAATAAGAATTGTGTAATTTTTTTACAATAGTCTAGCCTGAATTGGCGACAACCATCATAGCTCTGCCGCAAAAATAAATTAATAAGTGGATTGCACTTACTTTACACACATAATCAACAAAGAAGTAGTCATTTTCACAATTAAAACATTCCTAAGTTTTTGTATGTACTCAATATTGCATCAAATTGATAGAGTATGAACGAAACTATATACAGACTGAAGTACAAAGCTATAATCTTACAAACAGGTTTATATTATAGTAAACACAAAACAGTAATTTATCGAATGCATATTACTACAGTACTAAATTAAGCACGAGTCGGTTAGGTCTATAGTGGTCGTTAACCAGGAACACTAGTTAGAATGCTGCTTAGTGAAAAAGTGAATGAATCTGATTAGATATATAAATTTACTTCATTACTTGGTTGAGAAAAAATACAATGTTTTGAACAGTATATTGATTAAGTTTTCAAAAAAATAATGATAGTTCTTAGGAAAGGACATTGAACTCAACATTTCACAGAGACCATACATATTCACACATACAAATGATAGATGCACTAATAGGAATATATCATTTGAAGAAAATGGCCAACTGAGAGTTGTGATGATTGATGAGCTTGGAAAAGAAAATTGAGACGAATACGACGAGATTATTAAGGAGGAAGAATGTATTTGTATGACAAAGAAAATACAACAAATTTTAAAAAAAAGAAGTCAACATAAATCCACATTCAGATTAACTGTTAGCAACAACAGTAGCATATAGTATTAAAAACTGACCCAACAAATGTAAATATTATATTATACAGGAAAAAAACAAACTGGGAAAAATAGATTGAAAGAGTATTGGTGGCTAAAAGATTATTGATGAGATACAATTTTATGCCATAAATCAATGTTACTATATTTCTTTTATTCAGTGGAAAGTAAAGTGATAATTTTGTTCAAGTTTCCTGACACGTTTCTCCTCCTTCTTTCTATGTCCACCAGGCTATAAAACATAAATATTAGAGAATATATATACGAACTCAATAAAACCATCCAATAATAAAAAAGTAATTAATATAAAAATCAAACTAAAACTTTTGCTATTAAGTTGCAATGTAACTAAAAATAACGCAAGCGGATTGTTAAACACATAGATTTGACCTTGCTGATATTATCAAATGCTAACATCAACTGACTAGTGTACAGTCTCTACATACATCGATATACAGGGTTCATCTACTTTAATTATTTATTATTATCTACTTAAAATTATTAAGCATTTAAATGAACATGGATAACTCAGTGTGTAAAACGGAATCTAAATAATTTTGTATCCAATTATATATTTATGAACTCACCATAATGTAATATGCAGATAAATCCCCTTGATTTCCTGGTTTTTCAACTATATCCACTTCGTCTGATATTTCTGGATTTAAGTCAGCTACGACTTTTTGCATAATGTCTATAATATCCCGTTGTTTAAGAGATGGCAAAAGATTGCGATCCAATTGATCTGAAGCAACTTGATTATATTTATCTTTCATAATACGATTACCACCTTGTATCACAACAAAATTGACATTTGAATCAGTAAGTATATTGGAAAATGTTTGTTTCAGTCGGGTTTCTATATTTTGACTAAGCTCTATTTTCTTGTGAAGAAAGAAAAGTATCTTGACATATAAATTCGAAGTCTCCAGGAAGAGATCAGTAAAATCTAGAAAATTTTTAATTACACCAAACAATTTCGAGTACTCTTCATAACTTAGAGGATCATACAACACCTTTTCATTGTACTGTGAGAATTCAATATTGTTGTTGTCTTTATTACTTGAAAATGCGAAGTCTAATTTATACTTTAGGTATGCAGATTTTGCATTATTTTTCCATTCGGTAGGCAGACGGGTAAAAGGTGTATCTTCAACAGTTGGAATATCTAAGTTATGTTTTTTGTAAGCACGGATCACAGTGGATAACATTGTGTGAGCCTCATTAGGATCTGCATATAAAAAATAAATTTGCTCCAATAAGATTTGCACAGAAAACTAAAACTTTTAATTCAACAGAAACTATCTTAATGAATTCAACAAACTACTTTTTTAATATCGAAGTCTATCCTCTTGGACATAATAAGACGACTATATATTAGCACCATGTATTATTTAAAAGTAAATTATAGGAAGTAGGCCTCATGATCTATAGGGTTTAGGGCACAACTGCAACGAACGTAAACAAAAGGTAACTTACAGATTAGGCGTATCGTTTTAAGCCGAGTTATCTATTTGGTGTGGTTATGAAACTACGTCAGTGCATTACTTGAGAATGTTTTATGTGCTTTCATTCACTCACTAAACCAATAGTGTCAGCTGTATGAAGTGGACAAACATAGATATGAAGCTTGCCACTTGGATCAAATGACATACAAAGAAGTTGTAGAAATCGTAAATTAGATCTGTAAGCTAGGTATTAAAAGCTAAAAGTTGATTATATATATATATATATATACTCCCATGGTAATTTCAAGTTTTTTGCAGTCTTTAATGATATGATGCACTTTAAATTTTCAAGTAACAGATAATTTCATAAGACCTCGCGATAGACTCTAGCAAATATCCCCGTTATGTCAAGGAATCCGGTTATAGTCATGTGTCCCAAAACCAAACGAAAGGTAAAAACCTATTTAACACACTTTCATTTCTATAAACTTGTTCTAAAACAGAAAATATGAGTTAGACGATTCTAAAGCCACGGACCTTCAAAAAGATGTTCATGCAACTGATTGCTAAACGGTTACCAGAAAAGAACTTTAGCTTTTTTCTATAAACTGGGACAATGGATGATCAAGATCAGTCGGAAGAAATTCCATTTAAACCCAAAGCTTTAACTGATACTTCAAGACCACTATCCTTAAGCAACTTATTTAGGTTACCGAAGGTAGTTGATTAGCACTTGAACTGACACACTTCAATGGACTCCACTTAGTATACCACTGATCTATTCTTTAAGTAAATAGTCACTTCCGTTTTCGAAAATACTTCATTGATGTGTAGACAACCGTCTATTAACGTCTATTTCTAGGCAATTTTCGTCACAGTGAGAACTTGTTATATTGCACGACAACGCTAAAAACAATCATGTCTTACACTTATATCCATTATAAAAACATAATATACACCCATGATATAGGATTTTGGAGTTTTGGGAAGTGAGACCTGTAATCTAGCTTGACGTAAGTTCCAAACACCAAACGCCTAAACGCGTAATTTGAGTGACTGTTTCAAGAGACCATAGATATTGGTTCTCAACTTACAGACGGCTATATTCAGAGGCAGTATGTGGTAATCGATAGCAAGAAAATTTAGCGGCCAACAAGGAAGACGGTTGATGATAGATGGGATAGGATCGATTTTTGTTGATAGATTAGTATTTGACACTTATCAGCAACCAACACAAAGTTATTTTGTTTTGGAAAACTTAATAGTCTTATGGACAAGAGTGTGACTACATAGCCCAAAGGATACGCGCTTGAAGGTATTTGCACACAGACTATCGGAAATTCTGAACTGTTTTGCATGATGAGCTTTAGAATTTTCCTAGTCTTTTCATTGAACTTGATACTCTTAAGCGTAAGACAAATGGTTCTCTCTACATTCCTCATGAAAATAGAACTTGAGATAACTCTTAGAAAATATCTTACTCTCCACATTATGTGATACGGTATGGATAAGTATAAAATCCACCTTTGAACCAGAGACTTATCATTTTTGGTCCTACCTTCAACCTTCCTTCTATTTTAGGACCTAAAGAAACAACTTTCCAAATAATATAGCTTGGTTATGTAATCTATTCTCCCACATTAAGGTAAAAACAAACTTGGATATATCAGATATTTTAAAAGCGACGAAATGAGACATTGTTTATGTACACCATCTTTCCATAAAATATTGGACATATATGAGAGAAAATGAATGGTATATTAAAGGTAGATAGAGTGGAGTAAAAAACCAGAAGAGTTTACAAACCTTGGACATTTTTATAAACTAACAAATTACAAGAACAAACCTAACAGGACTTCCAAATAGAATTTAAATGTCATGATATTTAGAAAAAACGGACGTATTATACTAACATACCTGTACAGCTAAAGAGTTCATGCCAAATACGACTGATGGACTCGTGGACATCACTAAGATTAAATAAATGCATCATTCCCACTGTTTGCATAGGAGCAGTAAGAAACGTATTGAGGGATTTTCTATAGCTCTCTACTTCCATAATAACGCTCTTGATAGAGGAAAAAAAAGAAATAATATATGTAAAAACTCAGGCAGGAATTATATTTTAACCATGAAACAGAAATTATAGAGTGTTCAATATTGACCATAGGTGAAGCCAGAATTTAAAACTTAGACTTATAGTTCCAAAACTCGGTTACTGACTTACACAATGGAGTCACGAATAGCGAAAATAATCGTCAAACATCATTTAATCAAACACGATTTAGTTGATAATAAATTTCCTCAATTATAGCTAAATAATGCCACTTTAGTGCCTGTAAAGTACACAGAAATTTGTTTGGAAAAGTATGCACATTGTTTGCCGATTCTTCTGAGTAGTGTTTGACGAAGTTTGTAAAAAACTGGGAACGTATAAAGTTCAAAAATTATTCTTAAGAAGCAGCAGAAATATCTGGCGAATCAATAGATAAAGTCTCCAAACTACTTAAAAATAGGAAATTAGCAACCACATTTAATGACGAACTAAGAAATCTACAATTGTAAATTCTTGTGGTTTACTTTAAAAAAAATTGGTTCATTGTAAATCATTTATACTGCGGCGAAATGTTTCAAGACCTTCGACAATCACAAAATCTACAGTAACCATTTTGACGGAACATTTTCATAACGTGAAACAACTGCCAACTTAAAATTTGAATTAAACAACTGAACCTCCTAAAACATGATTCCAAATAAATATGAATTCAAAATCGATAACTAAACACTTTGTATTAGTGAAATATCTTTAACGAGAAGTAAACTGAGACAAAGAAAAGTCAATAGATGCCCCATAGGATTTTAGTTAGATATTTACTAGTTATTTAAAGAGTGAAGTTGTGCTGATGAGGTGTGGCAACTTGGACCGATGAATATATATGCCTGACCCTACGTTACAGCTGACTGACTGAAGTTTATTCATTTTAATTTCCATAATCTTTTATCCCTTCTATAAATTGTTTTGAGTGTTTAGAAGATCGATAAAACTAGGTGGTAAGAAATGTAGACGGAATAACATGTACATTATTCACAAGAATATAAAGAATAAAACATCTACTTCAGTGTATAAGACTTTGAGCAATTTCTCTTAGTCTCCAACTACTGGTAACTAACATTTTATGTATATGAATCAAAAGGCGTACATTTCTATAAACATGGCACATCAACATTAAGTGAAGTGTGGATTGGTGTCGATTTCCGGTATTCTAACCTTTAGCCTATCTTTAACTTACTTAAACTCCCATATTTTATTTATTTATTTGAAGACATAAACATTGGTACAAGGGGGCACCGAATACATATGCGCCACACAAGTCACTTGATTTGTGTGTCGACTATGCTACTGTCCAGGTTCCCAAACCAAAGCAGGTGGTTTTCTTAAGGGGCCACACACCGAGCCTCTGACCTAAAGGTCTAATCCACAAGTCGGTGGAGCAACGTAAGGAGATGCAGTCTCATGGTAGCCGGTGACTAACAATAGGTCTATACGCCTTTTTCCCTCAGGATACTGGAGTTCATGAGCACCATTTATTTGGAATCAGGGTTTTCCAACTCCTCTAAGTGGATCCTCCATCCCTAAAGTCAACTGGTTGGTCAATCAATAACAACCCAGGACCTGACACAAATATGTATCGGTCCAAATCCACATACTTAGACTATCTCAGTAAAAGAAAGTGAGTGTGAATAATAGTACTAATGGTAATGGCAAACTAATAATAGAAAGTAGAATTTAATCCCTAAAATAAAGGAATATGTTAATGAAAACAGTAATACATCAAAGCCACTGTCACTGACTTTTAGTCACATATTAAACAATTCGACACTTTATAAACAAAACCGTGTTCAACAAATTATCAGAAAATTATAAAAATGAGGATGAAACATCTGATTACTTGCCAGAGAATTTCGGTGAAAATTTATAAAGGTAACTAGTAGCAATAGATGAACTGTGTGATGAAAAATATAATTTAAAGAGCTTACCTTAGTTACAATGATGGCTACCTTCACAATATCCAAAGGGACATGATGGTGAGATACTAAAGAAACAGGATAGAAATGATATAGATGTAGATTAAATACGCATGTAAACACTTAAGTTTTAACGGGCACGATCTATTTGACCCGAGCAATTTCTAAAGTCACCAAACCAAAAACAATCTTTTCAGTTGCGTTGTTAGAAGTAAAATTAGGTATGTGTTATTAAGAAACTATAGGAATGATAGTAATCATTTCATAGATTATTAGTCAGGTGAATTAACAGTAATTTGTTATTATGAACCCAGCTACTTTTAAGTCAGTACCTAGAAGTTTCTGAAAACAAAGATGAGACTCGACGGCTAATTAGTCATTCATTTAGAACTAGTTAAGGTTACATTGTTTACTGCGTAGGGTTATAAACACAACAAAATTATATTATAGTGTAAAACGGAAGAGCATGGAAAACGTAGATAGGCGGGAAAGTGTGCACCAACGATCCCACACACGGGACTCGAATCCAGGACCTTCGGTCTCACACGCGAACGCTTAACATCTAGACTACTGAGTCGTCATCCCACGTTGTTAATGTCTAACTTCAACCGACCCATGATCTTGAGCAACCATTCATCCATTGTCTGAGGTATATACCTGTTCCTACTCGACACGGATTGGACTCCACTGGTCATGGCTTCTCACTTCCAGGTTTTCAATGGTGGTCTAACTTACATGGACTCATGTATCCAACTATAAAAAATTACTACAACCTCCACAAATCCCCATTCTGATCATATTATCTATTTATTTAAACACGTAAACATTGGTACAAGATACAAACGCGCCACACAAGAAAAATGACGCCAACGGGGGGTTATGATACTGTCCGGGTTCCCAAACCAAAGCAGGCCACACACCGAGCCTCTGACCTAAAGGTCTAATCCACAAGTCAGTGGAGCAACGTAAGGAGATGCAGTTTCATGGTAGCCGGTGACCAACAATAGGTTTATACACCTTTTTTCCCTCAGGATACTGGAGTCCATGAGCACCATTTATTTGGAATCAGGGTTTTCCAACTCCTCTAAGTGGACACTCCGTGTACACCCAAAGCGCTGGACATTCGCTTTTCGTCCTCTCGATTTAGTTAACGACACCCCAGCCGTAAGAAGGCAATGAGTAAGACTTCCCTGACAGTGGCTGTATACGCCTAGCCATGTGAGAGCTATTCGAGAGGGAAAACTGACTCTCCCTACCCTCGGCGGTACCAGGGTATTTGGAGGCAGCACCGATAGAACGGTTTCAGAAAATAATTATCTTATGGTAGTTACTTAATATACATGAAGGACAACTGAATCCGGGAGCTATAACTGGCATCCTACAGTTAGACGAATGACCCAATGGTGGCATAAGCGCTCGACTTTGGACAAATAGGTATTAATTTTTCATTGCTTCCAACAATAGAACCACCGATCTCTTCACATCTTTTTCAAACGGCCCATAGGTCGCAGTAATCCCCACTTTTCTTAACCTCAAATTAGAATAATGGAAAATTAAACGAGTGGTTACAAGTACATATTTATTATTCTAATTCCTAGCTCGTGTGTTTATAAAAGTAAAATACCAGACTAAAACATACCACAATTTACAATCCTTAAAAGGTGTGTACCTCAAACATTTTTGCTGTAAAACTGAGTAACTGATTTGTGAATTGGTAAAGTACATGAAAACTAACTCACTGAAAAATAAGTACCGACGTTTCATTTTTTCACTTTTTTTACACGACAAGATAAACAGCTAGAAACCTGCTCACCTATTTCAATTTAGTTAGGAGCTAAAAAGTATGATATTGGTGCATGAAGTCAATAACAGTAAATCAACTGGATAACTTGCATGATGTAGCTTGGGGTTTGTCGTAATGACTTAAATCCATGCATTTGATTGTCTTTAGCTTTAACACTTACACCACTAATATTTCACTTTGAGTATGTTACATTAGAATTTTTCTACTACCTTCGGTATAATAATTCTGACACTATTGTCTAGCAGCTTCTTAGTCTTTCCTCTCTGTGCTGACGTAGTGTATTTATTGGGACCGACTCACACCGGACACGACCGTGACTAATGGAGCACAAACGTTGTCATGCATGAGGAAATTACTTGCCGAAGACAATGGGGGATAGTCAAGGAATATAGTGGATCGGTTGAAGTTAGACATTAACACCGTCAAATGCCGGCTCAATAGTCTAGAGGTTAAGCGTTCGCGCGCGGAACCGAAAGTCCTGGATTCGAGTCCTGTGTGTGGAATCTTGGATGCGCACTGCTGAGGAATCCCATACTAGGACAAAATGGCCATTCAGTGCTTTCAGGTTTCCAGTGGTGGTTTAACGTTAATCGGTTCATGATCTCAATTAAAACGTAATAATCTTCACAACACTATACTGATGAGTTGACACTGTTTATTAAAAATCTCTAATATTACAAGCTTTATGAGATTCCAAGAGGGTATTTAGATACTGTCCATGTCTCAGGCTGAAGTCAAAAGTTCGACATTTAGACGAAGTGTGAGACCATCAACAACAGACTATCGTTCAATAAGATACAAAAACTCACTCATTTCAAGATGTGAAGAGGTAGAAACCGGCATACACACAGTGGAATGACCATAAAGGCTAGTATTTTAAAAAGCATATTAATAAAATTGATTCTTTTGTGATAATAGCAAGAGGATTCGGGTCCTTTCTTACAAACTATAACGATCAGTAATCAAGACCAATTATATAGGATTACACCTAGCTTCCAAACTCTAGCTAGTATTTCAGTCAACTAAGTTGGTAAAATTGGACCACCACATCCTGGGCTAGTTCATTATATCTTACTACTATACCTCATTTTAGACTAAATATTCTCTTCCGGATCTTACCAAGAGTGGATAGGATTGTGTCAATTTCTCATTCAGATTGTTTGGGGATAATGGGTAACTGAGGGAGTAGACGGAAGCCAGTTAGCGTGTTTCTGTTCACCAATCGGATTTCCTGGACTGAGAGTGAGCAACTGTTCATTTTTCTTTAAAGTCTTACTAACAGCTACCTAGTTTCATTGATAAGCTGGAAAAACTGTCCAGTGCTACCTATCACAGCTATCTCTTTCATTTCATTTCCTTCCGTTCTTCACTTTTCCTCACAATCGTTCTGCAAACTTTTTTGTTTACGCCTAACTTGTTGTCGCTCTTCGTCGTTCCCCAAACATTACATGATGAGTTTTGGACATCTATCAACTTAACTGATTTAAGTTGTTGGTAGATGTCGCTGTTATACAGCTTTTGTTGCCCACATGTGCTCATGATCATTAGGTAGACTTCTACTCAGTTTGGTTAAGTTTTTTTCACTCTCTATCCTTCTTCAAACGTGCCAGGATAACTTTCCACGAATCCATTTACTAGAGGTTATTGAAATACAGTGATCTTTCTAAACATTTTAGTTCAAATTGTTAAAAGACGTCACTGTTTTTACAAAAGACTGGGAATCTTACCAAGCTACTCCAGAATGAACATTCCTTACATGTTATACTAAGTACTTGGATGGTTCTGTCCTAAACAGAACCTTGACCTTTGAACTGAACTCGAAAAGGTTTATTGTTGGATTTTTCTGCGGCCAGTATAGTGTAATATGAGTCTAGATATATACTATAAGTGAATCTTCAGTCATATTCATTCAACGATAACCGACAATTGCTTTAAATATTACTTTGTAATTTCTCAGATTCGACTTGATATATTTGAAACGGTAAGATGTTCTTTCGGACAGCTTAATTTCTCTATTATGTGATCATTTGTTAAGACTTCATAATGACATTCCTGTGATAGTTAACACTAGGGAAAAATTAAGATTTTTATATTAGCCGTATGCTGATGAAAGTACTCAGACCAATAATAACAAATACAGTAAAACGGTATGCCCACTATCACAAATACACCCATGTTCCAAAAAAGTAAAAAAGTACATATACTCACTTTCATTCCTTCTTAATAGAACAGATGTAAAATTTGAGAGATCATTAGTAAGCGAACCGATATGGAGCCATAGTTTGTATAAACTGGTTGCTTTTGTGGGGAACAAAGATACAGGATGAAAACTCCATGAAGATTTAAGGTTTTGCTTTTTGTAGAGAGCTGATAATCTTTTCAAAGATCTAAGGAACTTTCCCGTCGAGCGCTTGAGAGATTTTAATTTGCGCCTGCGTCGGTTGTTATGAATTTTCTGCAAAATAAAACATACTTTGGAAATCGATGAGAAGAATGAATGAGACAACTTTATGAACTCGTTGGGGAAAAGTATAGAATTTTAAACTGGTCTAATATACCGATAAGAAAGGTACAAAATGACATTCGGATAAAGAGTTTGACAGTGAACTAAAATTTTTTATTTATTTGTAACGTTTATTCACTAGCTGAAAAATGTAGTACGAACAACTGTCCTTCCACCAATATTTTACAGTTTGTGTGAAACTACATGGAAAACTTTAGAACTCCCAAGTATGTATATGTATGCATATATGTTACCGAAAGGATACTAATATGAGTTCTTGAGTTCTCATCAACTCCCAAAAGCTTCATATCTTATTGAAATTTGAAACCAGGTTACAGCAGTGACTTAAACGACAAGGGAATTAATAGATACCAATGTGTAAGGAGTGAAGCCCAATGAAAAAAATGCACCTATCTGCTGGAAAATTCAGGAGGACTGATTTGAAGTCGGACGAACACAGACATCATTGGATCTATATTTTTACAGCAGACTCAGTTTTCAAACAGCATATTATATTGCCGATGTCTCAAATAAATGAGGAAAACTGTTATACCAACTAGTTATATTGAATCAACTTGGTGAGTAAATAAATCAGTGTTCACTTTATCTCGAACAGATAACGTATCAACTCAAGCAAACAAATTACGTCATTTCTTGTTTAGCCATCACGTTATACACGTTTATAAACTTTCTGCCTACATAAAACAAAATATTAAACCACGTTCTTAATAGATAAGGTGAAAACAGTTTATGAATAAAGTTTTCTTGGTGACGAGATGATTTGTGCCGTAATTCTGACAAGTAGTAAAATAAATAGTTTGGTGATTAGCTCGTACAAAAAGGAACCAACAGAACCACGTGATAGGTTAACTGATAACTATAGTTGCAGATTAAAAATCCCTCTATCCTACGTGCACCAAACTATGGCATTAATTCAGCATCTACAGACTAAAAATGGACTATAGTTAGCAAGCGAGCTTCTCAACACGTCCCAAAGTCGTGGATTACAGACGGACGAAGAAAGCACTGCCTGTAAAAACCAAATTCAAAAATTAACATTGAAATTCGAGTTGCTTAAATATTTAGTCCATTTCCTAAGATATACGAAACCAAAATATGAGTACTAACAAAGAAATAATAAAGAAACACTCAGAAATTTAAATGACAAAACAGGTTAACTAACTGCTAACAAACTTACATCATACATATTTTTGTAGGTTAATAGACGCTTCGAAGGCAAACTCATATTAGATACGGACGACTGAAGAACTGGATTTCTTGCTTTATTTACTACACATAAAATTAAAAGATTAAAACGTAACTACATAAGATTAATTAATTCACCAAGTACTCGAGTATGAATCACTCTCAAAGTGTGAAAACTAACGATACCATCCGATTTCCTGAAACGAAGTGGACAGAACGGAGTTAGAACCTTGGACCTGGTGACTGAAAGTCAAACGACTTGACTATTAAGCCACCGCTCTACACAACACAGGCATATGATATAGAAGTCGTAGCACCCAATGGTAAATTGAAGCATATAAAAAATTAGTGATAAATGGGAATAAGTTTTTGTTATGCTTGTGACCGAGTGGATGTCTAATTGATGTGTGGCTCGATAGAACCGCCAAACAGGGAGCAGCGAATTATCGGTTGGAACAGAGACACGCGAAACCCGTACGAGCAGACTAGATTGCTAACCGGTCCTGCGATCTGCCTAGCCCAACCAATTAAGTCCAAAACACCAATAACAGCCTCAGTGGTATGAATCATTATTTACAAACATACTGGGTTTTTATACAAACCAAAGTAATCAATAAACTGATTATAACTCAAGAATCGTATGATAATAAATCAAAGATCAAAATAAAGCTCATGATAAGAGGAAACACGAATATGAATAGTTTAGTTACGTAATAATTGTACAATAGGAAATAGGCATAATACATTGGTCCATAAATAGACCTAAAAGTTAACATTCGTAATTCACCGGGGGATATAACAGTTTTCTAAAAGGCTACACATACAAGCAACATAGGATACAACCTTTTGTAATAGTTCAAATGCTAGTGAAAGCAAATACGAAACCATGTAAGACCAAGGAGTAAACCACTTAAAACACTATCAGTACACGAAAACAATGGTTTATAACATTGATCAACATTCAATCAACTTTATTTACCGAAAGTTTCCAACGACCTGATAGCTTAAATAAACATCTCATTGTACAAATGAAAGTCAAGAATCAAAGTCAATGTATAATGATCGATTTTTAGTGGCAACACATAATGGCAACATGAAGCACAAACACAACGGTGATCCGGCTGACCGTTGATGAGATAATATATATTGACTTAATGCCAGATAAAGGTTTATGTTATTAGTCCCTTCGATAAAGTTGGATAGTGTAATAAGAAGGCGAAGATTCAGAAACAAACTGAAAGGTCATGGTGTAGTGAGACCTACTATAGCTTTGGCAGAAAAAAAGCCTGTCTACATCACCTTACCGTTCAGAGTTTATTCAAAGTCTTTTCTTGAAACAAAGGCTTAAATCAGTTATGAACAAGACATATTACGCAGCAAAGGTCCTTATCAAAGAAAAAACAAGGTCAATGCTTCATCGAAAATCTAAAATACATAATGACTACGTCACGTACCGTTGTGTTTATCAAATTAAATGTGCGTGTGGCTTCCTGGTGCGGACAATAGTGGCGAAGGTTGACTACTTTAAACTATTTGTACGGTGGCCCATTTAGTCGTTGCATCAAAATCCCAGCTAATAACTTTGTGGTGGAGAGTTCTCAGCAAAAGAGTGAAGATCAACGTTTAAAATGTAACCAAAATTGATCGGTACAGGGACCACCTTGTCCACTTTAATTTTTCGCTGGGGCGTTATTTTTGAACGACCTTTGAGCGACACTAGCATGACTTAGAAGATGTCAACCTGCTTATCAGGGCTAAATGGGGGTCATAAATCAGTTTGAAGGATAAGAATTTACAGTTGATGGTTAGGGTTACGAATTAGATTTATGGTCTTCATCACGAACTGACATCAATTAAAATGCCGAAACGCTATTTATACAAATGGGTGAATGAATTTAGCGCCAAAATTCAAGACCTGCTATCCTAAATCTGGTTGATTTGTCCATAAATTATAGTCTTGCCTAATTCGTGAACCATTCATTAGTTCTTTATCCCGTTAACCTTTAGTACCTAACATATATAACGTCGAAGGTACCTAAAGATTTCCTGAATATCTGAAAAACACACCGCTCTTGTTCGTGAGACATATCCAATAAGAGGAAGAGATGATCATATATGAACAGGAGAATTATAACATGAACTCACGAGCATCATAGCGATAGTAATCTGGTCCGCTGAGAGTTGGGTGACAAGTAATACCATGTGGCTTGGTTGAGAACTGAGCGGCGAAATGTGAATTTCCGCATAAACTTGGAGTTGATATTTTTAACAGATAGATACAGGATTCAGGTTCTTCAACTGATAAAATATGAAACGTTCGTGAATCAGTACAGACAAACTGCACTTCTACTAGCCGAGGCATATTTGTCAAGTCACATATACTTCCATTTGAATAAAACTGGCTATGGTATTTGGGTTTCTGAATAGTGTATAAGGCAATGTATGGAGTGAGAGGAGTACCTCTGTAGAATTGTCCCAGTCGAAATCCGACTCAAAAATCCCGAGTAAAGTTTTAGATGTTTCCTTAGATCCATCGTGATACTGAACAACATACTTTCGGAAACAAAACTCGTATGTCCACCAACCTTTTTTCTATAGACGTCAACTGTGAAAAATAAATATAGCACTAACCACTCTTAGACAATCAAACCCACTAAACATGGACAGCAGTGAATGTACGACGCTGCTAGACAATTGTGAAGTGGCGTTATTAGGTTCTGCACCACTGTCTGTACCCCATGAACAGGAGAACTTCTGACCAGACTTTGAAAATACATTAACTCCAGCATCATTCAACTGAACAGATACAGGATAATACAAAAGATATTACCTTATCAAGAACCGCACGTTCCTCGATAAAAAGGCTGTATTTGGTGCCTTCTTCTGATAGTAATGGAGACACAGAGATGGCGAAACAAAATACATAATAAGCTAGGAAATACTTGCACATAGGTGCACGCAACGCAACAACGCAACTAACCAATCTACCCGCTAAAATGACAAAGGAATCAAGAACATTTCAGTTTCTGTTTGGTAAGGATTGAAGGCAAGGTGACCTGTGTCAGCCCTGACAATTATGATCTCTCAGTTGACTCAACTCTCTTTTTGAAATCGTCGACGGATAGAGCTTCAATTACATGTTGAGTTAATAAGTTCCATTCGTCGAAGATTCAGTGGGGAAGTCGATAGTCCGCTGACAAGTAATTTGTCCTGGTTTTGTGAACCATTTTTGATGTGTCCTCGTGAATTCTCCATTTAGGGAGATAAGAAAAGTGACGTCATATCAGACGCGAATTTACCACTAAATAATTAAAAAACTGTGATCACGTAGCCTCTGAAAATAGATTTAATTCAGTCAGTCGAGCATCATACGGGAGGTCGACTATTCAGAGAATCAGCTTAGTTGAAGTTCTTTGAACCTTTTCCAACAACTCACTGTTTTTTTCAGGCAGAGGCTAGCTACTTGTATGTAGTACTCGAGTTCAGGACACACGAATACTGCATACAATGTATAAAAAAACGTTTTAGTATAAACATGGATATAAGCCCTACGTATTGAACATAGGGTTCTGAAACCTTTGACCGTTATTGCACGGCAGTGTGCGATAGTTTATAAATCTTGGATTACGATGGCTCCTAAGCCATTGTGTGTCTGAACAACACGTAGCTCAGTGTTATCGATCATGTGTGTGTCTGTGCCTTGATGACTAATATGTATCACAGTGCACTTGTAAGTAATAATCGTCAGCTGCCAAGTTCGGGACCATTCAGATCATTCCTCCAGGTCATTTTGAAGCACCAAGCTATCACATTTACTCACTGTCGCCCTCTATATCTTGACATCGTCAGCAAATAGCAAGACGGACGATGATGGGAGACGAGGAAGATCATTTACACACAAGAGGAATAACACTGGCCTCAAAACTGAACCCCAAGACACTGCTAAACACTTTCCCAGTTAGGTAACCTTTAGTTCACCTGCACTCTTTGTTGGCACCCAAATAGAAAGTCTTTTATCCATATTAATAGATTGCCTCCAACCCCGATATTAATTATATAACAGCCGGGTTTGAGGAACTTTGTCAAAAGCTTAACTGGAATCAATGTGGGCTATGTCTACAGATAACTTCTGATTTTTAAGAGTGCACAAACTTTCACGGGCCACTAACAAGTTAGTGAGACAGGCACAATCTGTCCTAAAGTCAAGCTGCTTTTCAGAAAGAAACAGGTTTTCGTGCGGTGCAGTGACTTTTAAGTACGAGTTTCTAAATACATTCTAAGCTGTTTCAGTGGTGGCTCTGACTCTATTAACCAATCTACTGAGGATGCCAAGTGTATAATACTGTGCATATTTACTTGCCACAGGTTTGTTCTCGATTGTGTTGACACACTATATAGAAATCAAAGATTAGAACTGCATGGTCACTTTTACCTAGGAGGTTTGTGACGCCATCCTCATAATTGGTCGATATGAGATCTAGTAAAGACGATGGAGAATTCGGGTAGTACCTAGTTGCTTCTTTCACATGTTGCACTAGGGCACATGTAGTAACCACATCAACCAGTCCCTATTCTAATTTTCCGACAGTTTATTACTAAGATCCTTCCGGTCTACCATAGTTGCATAGAAGTTTCCTATGAATTAACACCAACCACTTTGTGACCAAGTGTAGAGACCGTCAAGCTAGGTCTCATCAACCTCACAGTTTGAATTGAAGCAGACCAAACTAATCCGCAGCTCTTGTCCTTTGCATTCACACGTCCCACTCTCACGAGAAACGTTATCAATAATGGTGAATGGGGTAGTATTCCTAATGAAAAGAGTTACTCCTCCTCTACGCTTCTGGATTCTATTGGCCATTGCCAATATGAAACATTCAAAACCAAGTCCACAACTGTTTACAGACTACATCACCCCAGTTTCTGTTACTGCGATTAAATCAGGCTCGGTACAGTTTATCTGTACACCGATCACTTGTTGAGCAAGCTACGAGCATTTGTGTAACACATCTGGAGCTCACTTAAATGACTTTGTGCTGATCATAGAGTGGCTTCGGCATCATCCCCTTTCAAAGCCTCACTGTCTGAAAATTTAAAATTTTTAGGTCCTTCTCGCCAGCATCTAACCTTAGTTTTAGTTCTTTTCCAGCTCATCGTCTGTTCATACGGTCTTCAAGAGTGTTAGGATATTCACAGGAATATCCCAAAAATTATCTCGAATGTAAGTTGGCATATTTTCAGTCTCTTCACATATTTTACATGTTATTTCCTATTGGACATTATTACAGTTGTCCTAACTATGACTTTCATGTGTCGTTTCCCTATTGGTCAATTTTGAGTTGTCCTAATTATAACCTTTACGTGTCCTTCCTTTCCATTGGTTACTGTTAATAGTCATCGTAACTGTATAAATATTGCCTTGTCTGTAAACCATTTTTGTTCTGCTGCTGATCCCATAAACAATTCTCATTTGACGGCTGTGTTCTGATTTATTGGAGTTGGGGAACAGTATTGGGGTCGAACTAGGATATCTGAATTTGGTCAATCGGTAGAATTTTGTGTAGTCCTATCGCGATACGTAATATTTGGGCGAATTTATAACAAAGAAACAGGTTCTCTCGAACCCCTTTAGTTTATGTCTATTTCGTAGTATTAAGTCTCTTTCGTTAGAAGATCTAAACACTAATTATAACGGCCTGGCCTGATTCTGTTTCAAGTCCTTTTGGCTACCTAGTCTATAAACCTTTAGCAAGGTGACTGCAAGGATACTCTGAGGCATTAACTGGTTTAGTAGCTTATTTATCGAATCGTTGACATGCGCAAAAAGGATCCAAGGTTCTGAGCTTTTACTCTCCTTGACTCTATGAAAGATAACTAACATGTCACTACGATCAGTCTTTGATTTCTCGCATACTTTTGGGGGGACTGGCTTTTTCTTGGCAGCATTAGGTCGCTTCTTCCTCTTGATGTGTACTCATTCACCAACTTTCACTTTTTGGACAGTCACTTACAGCTTAAACTCAGTTTTCAAGTTAGGAACTCACTAAGGCCCTTTGTATTGTGGTGGACATATTTGTATCTAACTTGTCACATGTCCATCATAAGGCCCACTTGGTTCCAAAACCATTAGCTGCCATCATGAGACAGATCTAAGGGATTTCACGAAGCTGTGTTTATTTTCATCTACGTGCCACATGTGCATAGAGACACTCTTCGCCGAGTTGATTGGCGTCAACAACTTAAACTAGATAACCACAAATTCTAAGATGACCTAAAGAGCGTGTGCATCGGTCTTAATCGTTTCTTGGAAGCCAAATAATGGTGTTGTCTGGACACTCTACTACTGAGTCTACAGTCTGCACGGAAGTTCATCCATATGAAGTAATAAATGCACAACATCTGGAATAGAGCCGTATGGTGCTTCAATAAGTATTGGTCTCAATGTGGAACATCTGTAATTCATTCTTACTCCTTACTAGCAGCTTAATAGATTATCCTTGATCTAGTTTAGCAAAGGTAAAGCACTCCCGAAATTTCGACACATCAACAAAAGTCGATTATGCGGCATCTTGTCAACCGTTTTGCTGAAATTAAAATAAACGAAATCCAGTAATTTTCGATTATCAGAAGAACTTGTCAACCCCTCTCCTAATATTGGAGGTTTGTTGCACACAGCGATACTCTTCTGAAATTATGCTGTTTCCTGATTTACAAGTTGTCTGTTTTCACTAAAGTCTTAATGGTCTTTACGGTTATTACGGCTACTAACCAATGACAGTGGCACCAATTTACTGAGCAAAATACTTCTCCGACTAATGTTTATAACCTTGGATTGGTCTCATTTCCTACAGAGAAATCCTATTACATGCAAAACTGGACAATCAAGCTAAAATGAAGTCTACTCATGGTCCTATAAAACCTGCGAAAATAAAAGATGAGCTGAAATAGCTTTCATGGAAAAAAGGGAAAGAGGGTCATTTGTTTGTCCGAATAATTTTTTCCGTACTACATCTTAAAACTACACATAATCCTAGACTTTCAAGTTCTTTTTGGACCACTTTCATTCACACAGTTCTTTGTCCATTAATTACTGCACTTAGGATTGTTTTCTTTAACCTATTAAAATGTTCTTACTCAAAAATTAGCCTGGTAAAGAGAATAAATCTAAGTATTCATACTTCAATTATTCCATCACAAATGACTCAACTTCAGTATTCATGGATATTCTTTGTTCTATCGCTCATCCTTTCTTTTTTAACTCCTATTTTCAGCCCCCCATCACGTCCCTCCGAAAACACGAACAGAACATGTGACTTCTCCCTGTGTCAACATTAATACCTCAGATGTTCCAAGAGGATATAAGGCTGCAGTTTATAGGAGCTCTCAGCTTTACATGGATTTATTCTCCATCATCAGTTGCTCTTTGAAACGCGACAACCATAAAGCGCGACGAACCTCATATTGACTATTCGAGTTTCTCCAACATTATTTACATTCATATGTAAGAAGTGTTATCGCGCTGATTCTACGACCAATGTGTCTCACAACACATCAGCCTACGTTACTTATTACAGTGAAGGCTGTATCATTCATAACAATTTCACCTTGCCCGTAAACTGGTATGCCTCATGTAACACGTTACTATTTGAGAATAAATTATTATTATGTAAATCAACGTTTTTAGAAGAACGGACATTTGCATTAGAGTTACATTCTTAGGGTTTTCGAATTTCAGGATATTCAGGAGCGTTTATCAGTAGTGGTATATTTGTAATGTCAGGTTTTCTCAGAATCAGACTTAATTTCATATCATTTGGGATTAGGTTGCGTTCGGAACTTTGCTAATTGTCCGTAACTAGTTCTTCATGCTTTTGCTAACACAGTGCTCCATCTGGAAAAGCCCTAACAACCCTGAAAACCTGTTCTTTGTCTGGTCGAATTGGATAACGTCAGAATTCACTGTGGTTTAAAGATATGTTGAATTTGAACAACATCGGTGACTGCAAACAAAGGTTACTTCTTTTGATTTTATGTCCGCATGGTACATGTGTCACGTCGCTGGCTTTAAGCTGCTTAGACTTCGCATTTTTCAGAGCATGTTCGTCTGGTACGTCAAACACGATTACATTGATGAATTTTTTGATTCTTTCAAACGCCTATGAAATAACACAATCCAGGAAAGTATTTGTGCCGTTC